TCTTTTATTTTTATATAGTGATTCTTCCAGATGGATGTTCGACTCATTTTGTAAGGTTCTCCCAAATCCCAATGTAATAAAACTATATAATTGATCTGGGAAAAATAACCATTTCATAATATTCATCTTTCTACCAAAGCATAAGGTATATCTTTCATTTGTTTTCTTCTCAGTTTATTGGTTTGAGTAAAATTGTATAGCTTTCTACAAAGGCTTGTATATATTTCTTATTTTTCCCAAGTATTTTACGTACATTTCTTATTTTTCCTACTCAATTTATATTTTTATGACTTCATGAATAGAATCATTTCCATCCTACTTCTTACTTAGTAAAACACCGGCATTTGGGGTGAACATCGATTTTTGAACATGTATTCTATAACCAATGACCTTTCTGAAATTTCTTACTAGTTCTTTTAGGTTTTAATTAATCCAATTGTATATCCATCACTTTTAAACAAACTCAAGACACACCGTATAATTTTTGGTTACTTATTGAAAAGCTTTACTTAAGCATAGGCATTAAATGCTATTTTACTACTTATTTTTAAAAATCACCTTTTTACGATACTAATATAAAGACCTGAAATTGAGCCACCTTAGAAATCTAAAACGTAACATGTGCTCCTCTGTTGAACTACATTCATTTCCCTTGGGCACTCAGTCTTACTATTCAAAACTACAAAAAGGGCTCTGAATGAGAGACATTAAGTCATTTCTCACTTAGATTAAACAGGACAAATTAAACAATAAAACAATTCAGAATTTTGACAGAAACACACCAGGAACTTGGTGCCATATAAAAAGCAATTTGTCTCCTGATTTAACTCCAGAGATAATGGCCAGGATGATTTTTAAAATAAAACAGGGCCCACCTAAATATGCTGGGAAAGCAGTTGCATGCTCTTCTATATATGAGCAGACACCTTTTTCCCCAGATAAGCACACATTTCCTATATCAAAAGATCCAGATAATAGTACCAACAAATTATTAATTCACAAAATATTTGTTGTGCTCCTAGTAAGTGTGGTGTTCTGTGTTACCGGGAAAGATTGGGGGCAATAGTGATGATTACATACAGGAACTGAAGAGACACTGGCATATAATAGAAGCTCAACAAATAATTAAGTGTATTATTTATTTATTATTATACATTATGATTGTGATTTATTGTTTACTATTAATTTCCAGAAAACTGAAAGTCTAGTTCACCATTGTCTTCCAAGAGCCTAGCATGGCAAATATACACATGTAATAAATATTTGCAGAATATTTTTTGACTGATTGATGTATTTTTACAAAAATCTCAGTTGCCAAAAAAATATTTTGGCTCAATTCTTAACTTCTAGCCTAAACCCGTTCTTAAAAGACACATTTGTTAAAGCCAAGAATACTCCCCTTTTGAAGTCAGAATAAGGTTCTAAATTGCTCTTTCTATACCAGTTTAGAAAGAAAAAAAAAAACCTAAAAATCAGATCTTTAAGTTGGCACAGGAAAATACCAGGAGGCAGAGTGTTCATTCCTTCACTCATTTGCCAAATGTTTATTGAGAATCTTCTGTATATAAGACATAAAATAAATGGCCATTATAGAGCTTACAGACATGGCCAAACAAATAAATAGGCAATTATAAACTGAGGTAAGTGCTGTGGAATAAAAGTAAAAGGATGATGAGAGTGTTGTGTTAGTGGGGAAGAGAGGTCAAGGAAGCCCAAGGGACAAGTACGACCCAGGCTGGAAAAATATAGAGGGAAGTGGTTGGGGATGTTCCAGAAACACACAGGGTCAGTGTGACAGCAGCAAGAGGAAGAGATGCACAAGATGAGGCTGGCCAAGTACCAAAGGCTCTAGGAGTCTCTGGAATCTGTCCCAGGTGTGTGGGTGGTATTTTATATAGGGAACTGACATTATCCTATCTGCTCTGGATGAAGTATTAGAAGAGCCAGGCAAGGAATCAGGGGTCTTGTTAGGAAGTTAGACTAGTGGTCCAGATAAGAGATGATAACTTAAAGTTTGATAGTGGTGATGGTGGGGATTGAAAGAAACGATCAAGATGTATTTAGAGATCTATATAGAAAATAGCATTTATAAGACTGCATGATGGTTTTGCATGCCAAGGGAATGGAGGCATCAAAGGTGATTCTTGGGTTTCTGGTTAAAGAAACTCCATGGACAGTGGTGTCATTTACCAGGTTAAGAAGGACTAGCTTATCTTTGTTGCTATTATTGTTTAATGTATTTTGTTTGTTTTACATTGGCTTGGAAGGGTAGCAAAAAGGATGGAAGGCAACATCAACAAGTCAGTTGAGGAGAGAGTATGTTTGAGAAACCTATAGAAGAGCCAGGTCCTGGTTTGTCTTAGCTCTTGAACACCCAGGTAAGTGACATGCATAAGTGAGGTACCTTTGAACCCTCTTCCCTACCATGGTTGGGTATATAAAGCCTCAAATAGATTAGTTGGCTTAAATAATCTTTAAAGTCTTTTCTGAACCCATGCTACTCTATCTTTACCTCCTGCTGTTATGCTCACATAACGTTAATGTTGTCATTAAACACAGTTTCATAGAGATGTTGGTATACTGGGCTGAAGAATGTCTCTCAAGAATTCATGCCCGTCTAGAACCTGTGAATTTAGAAATCAAGCCTTTTCAAAAGTAATCTGATTAATATGAGGTCATACTGAAAAGGAATGGGTCCTAAATCCAATATGAATGATGTCTGTATAAGAAGAGGGAAATTTGGACACAGGGACAGAGATAGAGGGGAAGATGCCAGGTGAAGACAGAGACAGAGATTGGAGTTATGCTGCCACAAGCCAGGGAATGTCTAGGGCTACCAGAGCTGGAAGAGGCAAGCAAGGATCCTCCCTTAGAGGTTTTGGAGGGAGCATGGCCTTGACAACACCTTGATTTTGGACCTCTAGCCCCCAGAATCATGAGAGAATAAATTTCTGTGGTTTTAAGCCATTCAGTTTTTGGTGACTTGTTATAACAGCCCCAGGAAACGAATACAGTTGGGAAATTTAAGTGAAATCACGTTTTAACCTGAATCATCATATAGGGCACAGAGTATACGTTCAGTAAATATCCATTTCCCTTATACTGGTCACCACCATTTTCCTAGTGGTTTAAATTATGAGTAATCTATGTATCTACTTATTTTGGCAGGTCTTACTACTCCTAGAACTGTTTTATAAGTGAGGAAACTAAGGCTTAGAAAAGTTGAGTAATTTTCCCAGAATCACAAAGCTAGCCATAGTCAGAGTTCAAACACCTGCCTCCCATACCTACAGCATTTCAACAAGCCCTGACAGAGTGGAGAGGCACTGCCAGACTAGATTTTCAATGCTTGCAATTAAAACTCACAATTTTAAATAAAACAAAAAGCTGCAGAGACCTATTACAATCTCTACCTATTCACAGAAGAACACAGATTTTAAGTCTAAGGCCAATATTACCAATGAACTTGCCATTGGCTTCTATGGCTTCCATTTAGCAGAGCATCTGCCTTGAACAAATGTATTCCAAGTCAAGGTATTATCATCAGATTGGACATTTATGGCTGTAATTTACTTAAATGCATTTTCCTTATGTATTCCCCACTTCATTTTGATGATACTGACTCATTCTCGCCACCTAACAAGACTATAAAAATAGTGTGAGTGCAGAGGAAACTGTCTCCAAACTTCATATTCCAAGATGCCCATCCTTTAGATTATAAAGCAAAAAATAAGTGCATGCTTTAAATCTACCTTTCTCCCCAACATTGAGTTGTTGTGCTGTTGAACATAACAGATATACAAATCTAAGGTGGCACAACTATTATTATAAGGTGTCAATTTTATAGAATTCTAGTGTAGGAGGGACTTCTAAAAAGCATCTAGTCCTTCTGCATCAGGTAAGAGAAAGAGTGTCTTTAGCCTCCAAGTCCCAGAAGAGAAGCGGTTGCATAAGAGATTTTGTGAGTTACCTAAACCCCTGTGGCTATGTCTTGGTAGAACTCCTTAGAATTCCAGGTTTCCTGATTTCCCTAAAAGTGTGTTCAGTCTTTCAAGCTGTCATCAGCTATTAACAATGACACTTTCCTCTGGCTTTGTGCCAACTTTTATTTTTCTTTATTATTCTGGCCTTAAAAAGGCCACTATAAATAGCCTCAGTGCTTCAGGTTTCTTTAATTGATATCTAATGTTGACAAATTAACTCATATATGGAGTTGAAAGCTCCATATACACACATGGTTTCAAGAAGGGCGATCACACTTATCCTCCAAACTGAGCAGTGATGATCCTTGGACTTCTCAAGTTTACCCTCTAGGAGGCTGGCATGGCACACAATTTTGACAAGAGTTTATAACTGAAATCCTCTTCCACGCCCTGCCCACAAGGGTGCCCACAAGCAGAAGTTCTCTTTCTCTCTCCATTGCAACCCACCACGCGCGTGCACACACTCACACACGCACACAGGCAAATAACAAAGGAAAACACAGCCCCATAAAGGCTCAGCTATTGCATCCTCCAGTCCACACCTGCCAAAAGGCAAAAACCATAGGAAATCCTGCCCTGGCAATATGTCCAGCACTCCTCGGGAAAAGCAGCACCGTGGCACCCCCAGGGCGTGCGCGGCTGTATACACACAAAGAACTGATGCTGGGCTTGCGAGCCGTTCGGGGTACTAGCGCTCTCAGGGCTGGAATTCGGGGTTCTCCCCCACACCCTCCCGCCCAGCAAAATGGAACTATCCTTTATTTGACCCGTAGAAAGCCCAGGCTGGAGAGCAGCGCATGGGTTGGGGGTGGGCGGTCCCGATAGCTACCCTTCAGGCAGCAGGTCCCTAGCCTTTGCATCTCCTAGGAGATGCAGGATCGCGCTGTCACAGAGGTCCTCTTCGAATCCTCTCCCGGCAAAGCGAGATGCTCCGGGTACCAGCGGCGCGCGTCCCCGCAGGCGCCCCTCCTTGCGCGGACACCCACCCAGGCAGCCCCACCAGGCGCGCCTGCCTACCTGGCGGCCGGCTGTCAGCGAAGCGGCGGTGCCTCAGCCTCTCCTCAGCTGCTATATCGCTCCCAGCGCCATGTTCCCGGTCTCCCCGGGAGCACGCTGGGGAACTACTACGGGCTGGGTAGGGGCAAGGGGGGCGGGGGCCAGAGGGAGGGGGTGGGAGGCAGAGCCACGGCTTTCTACTCTCCACCCAAACCTCCCCCAGCTACTGAGCATGCCCAGCTGCCCGGCTTCTCCCCTCGGAGGACTGTCCATGAGCGCACGCAGCTGCTCCGGGTTTTTGTGGCAGCCGGCGGGAGGCAGGCGGTAGCGGCTGCGGCGGGTAGAGGTGAGGGGGAGGGTCGGGGGGCGTGTCTACACTCCGGGTGCTGGAACCGGGAACTGGAGCAAGCGACCAATCCAATCGCGCTTACTCCCTGCGGTCCGCGGCGGGGGCACCTCCTGCACGCCCTCTCCCCACACTCTAGGGGTTTGCAGAAATTTTGTTCAGGACCATTGCAGGTTTGAGCTTTGCTTAAGAGACTAGCAGAGGTGGGGAGGAGGAGGGGTTGAGAAGCAGAACAGTGGGCTGGCCTCTTTGCCACCACCTGGACCGGTGCGTCTCAAACTTTAATGTGCCTGTGAATTAAAATGCAGATTCAGATTCAATTGGCTGGGTCCTGAGATTCTGCAAGCCTAACAACCTCTCAGGTGAAGCTGATGCTGGCCCTCCCACCACTCTGAGTAGCAACGATCTAGAGAACCCCTTATCTGTGACCTCTGAGTGGTCATGCTTCAATCCGCCAGCCCAGCAATGGTCTGGTGTTCACAGAGATTCCTCCAGTTTGGCGTTGCCGAGCCTTCCCCAGAAGGGGTCTTCGTGGGGCTAGGCTCTGATCACCCACCTTCTCCTTGGCTGCTGTCTGATTTAGAATTTAAGACCCAGGGGAGGAAGGATTCCTGGACCTTTTCATGCTCACTTTGATAGCTAGTAAGTCGGTTGCTGGTTGAGCTGCACCGGTTAAATCTGAACCACTCTGCCTTCGCTGTCCCCCTGCCTTTCCTGAGCTGGGACAAAAACTCAGACTGGGCATCAAAGTGTTTATTGTAAATCTAATAGCAAGCTTGGGCTTGCCCAGTTAAGAAGGCTGACAGATTATGACAAACATGTAGCGCATTTTTGCACCAAGAGATGGCAGGCCTTTTTGTTGAGTGATGCTTGGGCTGAAGTTTGCAATGATATTTGTGGTTCACCTTAAACTTCCCAGTTGCCTACTGCCCTCCTAGACTCTTGAGGCCTCCAGTATTATCAAGACTCTAGTGAGTGAAAAACATTCATGAAGTAGTCCTGAGTTTTTACCCTTGGAAATGAAGAAGCCACACCCTTGTCTGTCTTCAGCTGCAGCAAGAGTACTATGAGTTAGTAATGCATATGGAATCTGATCCCATAACTAGACACAAAATAAGGATTGGTATATCTCTGTTCCCTACTATACTCAATGACCTTAGACAGTTTTCTAGCTAATAGTATAATAGCTATCATTTCCCCTTGTTTGTTTTCCATTCACTTAGTACCTTTAATGTAGTACTGACCATATCAAAACAGGAACCATAGGATAAATTGATGATTACTTTTCTCCCTCAGTGTTCCTGTGTCCTTGTGTATCATAAGCTCTTTTTCAATTTAAAGGAGTAAGAGTCTCTAAATCCATCGCTTCCTTCTCAAAGCTGCACACAGCCATAACAACCTACCCACTGCCCCCATTGTCACACCCAGGACTGTATGCATAAATATTCTCTTTTGACTTTCTTATATATGTGCTCACATAGAGCCAAAACCCAGAACATATTTGTATTGAGATGTAATTTATTTGTCATTGGTTAATAACAGTTAAAATTTTTAATTGAAATATTGAACCATAATCATTTAAAATAGCTTTCCTGTTATACATAAAGGTTGTGTTTATACATTTGTTTCTGCTAGTTAAATATGATGATTGTTAGCTGCCTCACATTTATTTTGGAAGTATGCAAGGTAAAAATTATAGATGAATAATAATACTATTTCTATAAATACTGCATTGCTTGAAGTCCTAAGGGTTTTCTCTTTTTTTTTTTTTTTTTTTTTTTTTTTTTTTTTTTTTTTTTAGACAGAGTTTCGCTCTTGTTACCCAGGCTGGAGTGCAATGGCGCGATCTCGGCTCACCGCAACCTCCGCCTCCTGGGTTCAGGCAATTCTCCTGCCTCAGCCTCCTAGGTAGCTGGGATTACAGGCACGCACCACCATGCCCAGCTAATTTTTTGTATTTTTGGTAGATACGGGGTTTCACCATATTGACCAGGATGGTCTCGATCTCTTGACCTCGGCCTCCCAAAGTGCTGGGATTACAGGCTTGAGCCACCGTGCCCGGCCAGGGTTTTCTTTATAAGTAATGTCATTTCTTGAGGGTTTAGCATGCAGTATTTGACTAAGGACCAACACCTGTGGGTGGGGGTCATACAAGAAGCAGGAGCAGGCAGAGGTAGAAGCTAAGCTGTGACGCAGGCCAATTGCAGTCTTGGTCAGCCCCTTAGGTAGCTCACGAGCTAGGGTGATCGTTCAGAATGACCCTGAGTTGGTCTGAGATAGTCAGTTTTTTATATCCACATGAATCATTGAGCATGGGCTGTTTCTAGTGTGGGCATGAACTTAAGACATGCAGCTCTGGCAATCCTTAAAGGGAATGACAGCTAAAACCCTCTATCAGCTGTAGTCCCCACAGCTGCGGTAATGAATCCATCACTTATGGGGAATTTAGGCAAAACATTACTTTGCCCACCACATTGATACATTTATTAAGTACAGCACTTTTGAATATGCAAAGTAGAACTCTACTGATTTGTCAGAGACATTTGAAAACTTTATTTTTAAGTAAGTAATAGGTTTTCTCTCTGGCTCGAATATTTAAAAGTTGGAAAATAACCTGTAATCAGTCATTGAGAGTATACTATCTATTTAGGTATCTGGCTGTATGCATTTTTATATGAGGTGTTTAATTATGTTTTATTGAGCAGGCATGTATTCATTGTCTGCCATTTAAGACATGATTTTCTCTACTGTCAAAATCTGTATTTATAATTTGTAATGGGGGAGGAATGACTGTTTGATAGTAATTAGAAGTGCGTTTTTCAATAAAATAGAGCTACCGACTAGTCAAGATTTCATGCATAGCGTGGAGAAGGTAAAGAGAATAACCAATCTTGTTGACACCAAAAACTGTGACAAGGTGAACCTGAGGGGTGGAGAACTTAGTAGATCAGCTGATGGGGATGTGTAAGGCAGCATGCTGGAACCCTTCAGACTACCCAGCTTATTCTCTTTACCTTCTCCATGCTATGCATCTGCAAATGTCTGGAATTTTTGAAAGATGATCCACAATCATAAGGGAACCAGCATGGACTCTAGAAAGGAAGCAGGACATTGGCTCAGACAGTGGAGGTGGGAAAAGAATAGGAGGTGGAAAAGAATGTTTCACAGAACATAAACAAAAAGCATATGAAGAATGGGTCTCTAAGGAATAATTTCCCCAAGGAAACAGAAAAAAAGTTTAGACGAGTATTTTTTTCCCCAGAGTTTCAAAGAAATGAACTACCATATAATCTCGATAATGTTTTTTGAAAGCACCACAAAGAAATATAAGGATTTAAAGAAGAGACAGTAAGACTAAAATAAAAGATAAACTAGCAGAGGTCAGGGAAAAAGAAAAGTCATTAAACCACTCAAAAGATTAGAGAATAGGGGCCTGGTGTGATGGCTCATACCTATAATCCCAGCATTTTGGGAGGCTGAGGTGGGCAGATCACCTGGGGTCAGGAGTTCAAGACCAGCCTGGTCAACATGATAAAACCCTGTCTCTACCAAAAATACAAAAAAATTAGCAGGGTGTGGTGTCAAGCACCTAATAATCCCAGATACTCAGGAGACTGAGGCAGGCAGGGGAATCACTTGAACCCAGGAGGCAGAGGTTGCATTGAGCCGAGATCGCATCACTGCACCCCAGACTGGGTATGACAGAGGGAGACTCCATCTAAAAACAAAACAAAGAAAGAAAAGAAAAAGAGAATAGAAACAAAAGACTAACCACAACTGAAATTACAGTGAGACAAGTACTTAGCTACTAACAAATAAGGTATAAAAGAAATCATAGATCATTTTTATGGAAGACAAACAAAGGAGATCCAACACATGTACAACCAGTAGTATGCAGGAGCTGGCTTGCACCAGCTCGCAAGAGCTGACTGGGCATATGTACCACTCTCTAACTCCATTTTCAGTAACATCATATTGGTAGCTTGAAATCAGCCATTGTGGAAGTATTTACACCACACAAATGGACACATGCTACCAATCAGGGGTTTTGTTTGTTTATTTGTTTGTTTTCAGGCAACTTGGTTATTACACATCTACCAGAATATCACTTTTTACAACCTTTCCTGTTAAAAAAAAAAAAAGAATAAAATGGAAGAGAAAAAAAGTAATTGAAGATATAATAAAAGTATAAAAGTTAATTTCCTAAAATAGAGATTGTTAGATCAGGAGAACAAAAGAACGTAATTGTCTCAGGAAAAAAAAAAATCAATCTGGAACAATTAACCCCAAAATAGATCCTACTGAAGCTATAGAATTTCAAAAACAAATAATGTTCTGAATATCCAGACAGAAAAGGCAATTTACATATAAGAAAAAGAAAATCAGTGTGCATTTAGATTTCTTCACAGCATCAGGCAATGCCTGAGGGAATGTTCTGAGGGAAAGAAAGGGTGACCTAAGAATGTTTGTTTTCCTAGCCTGGTGTTCTTCAGATTTTCAAGGCAGCAGTCAATGGTTCTCAAACACAATAAATCAGTATACACAGCAGACATAAACCTTTATAATATTCTATTTTGTTATCAAATTTGTACAACTAAGAGGTAAATTTAAAACATAAATCTCATGAATGATGAACCTGTGGTCAAATGTTGTGATAATGATAATCATATTTATTTTAAAATAAATCATATTTATTTTAAAATTTATTTTAAACTAAACCACTGTGTTTGGCAGTTTTAAGTTGCAGTAGATAGATACAAAACCCCATCTCCAATCTCATCATGCTTTTTCACAGTCTGTTTTTCTTATCTTTAAAGGAATATGTTTCAAACTTATTTCTCCTGATGAGAAAAAAAATCTTTTTCTGAAGCTGAGAAATTACTGCAGGCACATTTTAGCTTCTTTTCTTAATTTTAATAAGATTAAATATAATCTAGTTTTAAAGTAGCTTGTGTGCTATCATACATATATGGAT